TCACAAGGTAAACCGATTTCTGTTGTATTTAAAAATATTGCAAATGCTACGCCACTTCCCACCGTGATCGTTTGACAAAATAATGATTCGCTGTAAGAAAAAAAAAATTTAACACAGTTATTACATAATAATATGCTGTGCGCTGTAAACAGTCCAATTTCCAGTTACGTTTAAATATGGTTTGGGCTTTGGCCAACGCGCATAAACTAATCGTGTTTGTAAAAGTTGTCTCCGTGGGAATTAAATGAGATTTTATTACGGATGGGTTGACATCACCGATGCAATTATAATATCGCGACAACTACGTTGCTGGCACTGAGTGTTTTATTATACTCTTAACTTGCTTATAAAATATTAATAAATTATTCAGTGAATTTACTACCTATCGGAAATGATCATCTAGCGTCGTATATTATAAATGCTAATATATAATATCTCAAATCGTCTATCGGCGGTTGCGGCGGCAATTGCGCATCTACCAATTTAAAAATTACATATATTATATTATTTTTAACTTGCGTCTGCCGCCTAAAGGTATACGGTGGCTAAGTATATTTACGATAAACATATAGGTACGTTAATCCGAAAGCAATACATGCATTATATATGCAGTCGGGAAAGTAAGAAATCGTTACATTCTGGAAACACATTAGGATATTTCCAACACACACCAAGCGTAAGGATTAAAAATAAAATTTAAAAATAAACAACCGTCGTTATAATATTATACTCGTATAGCGCGGGTCTGTTTGGATCACAGATTTTCCGTCACGTCAAAAGGGTTAAAAAGTATATCCCCGCTATCGGAGATGGTTGCGACGAGGAAGGGGGGACTCGAGGAGAATATGGCAAAAGTCAAAATGGCGTAATTACAGTGTTGATCGAAGGGTTGAGCCACCGTGGCCGGTAGAGCGAGTAGTAGAGATGAAGTGTTCAGCAAACAACGGGTGGCCCTGTATAATATAATATGCATATATATATATATATGATGCAGCTTATACCTTTATACGCCCGCCACGTCAAGTGGGTCCCGGGAAAATGCAGACCATGAGAAAATATATAATATAATAACTTGCCCCCGCGTTAATGCGCTACACGGCGTGGAGGGGACCGACGATGGCTTTTTATTTCGCCACTTGAAAACGGCTGCAAAAAAAAATACATACCAACGCCATGATACATGACGGTATACATCATAAAATAAATATAAGTACCTGCATATACATATATATTATATTGTAAGTTGGACAAAAAAGTCAAAGTCAAATCGTCGATTGCTCGAAATAAAATATACAGTTTAGCTGCACGGCCGCAGTATAAGAGGCGAAATATCAAGAATATAATATTATATTTGGTCAGTTTTTGATATTCGGCATTCCGAGTAACAATAATAATATGATAAAGTAGTTAAGTACAATATTAGGTAAATAGCATGAGAGCAATTGCGTGTGTGCCACTCAAAAACAACAGAATACATTATAAACAGTCGTTTTTTACTTTATATATACCTACATAGATACATAACTTGGCCTATAAAATTATTCTGCTCTCCTAAATATATTCCTCCAACCGCTAAACACCTTTGATTGCAAACCCAATTCATTATAAAATTAGATATATACTTTTATCATAAAATATCATATAATAATGTTATGTATAGGTTTATACAGAGAACGGTAGTTGGCAAGCGTGTATATTATCATACGTGCTATCGGAAGTTGTAGGTCCATCGGGGTGACGAATGGACCAAGGGTACCAGGTACTTATATATATGTATATGGGTATACACATACATGAATGTAATCGTGTACATAAATACAGAGCGTATACTTACGTAAACATAATATATAGGTATGCGGTAAAACCGTTTTGCAGCCAATTTTCGCGAATCTCCGAATAATCCCTCTCGGAAATATAAATTGAAAAACTACACTCGCGCGTACGTGTATTGAGCGCATGAAGCGTAGGTATATATATGACATATTCATGTATATAGTTTTCGTTGGAGCCGCAAGATGAGAGGAGCGCATATCCGGAAACCTCTACACATATATAATATAGCTGCGTAATATATACTTGCATAAATCATAGCAGCCGAGTCCCCAGGGAACGTACGCGCCGGGGGTCGGCGGCGGTAGAAGAGACATCATTTACTTGACACTGACCTCATATATATAAACGTATTTACGCGCGCTCTCGTTTCTCCGGCGTTGGCTGCTTCTGCTGCTGCTACTGTTGCTCCTGTCACGGTCGCCCCACGAGGGTAATTTTAATCTGTCAAATATAAAAGAATAGTCGGAGGACGAGGAGATATGTGGGGAGCAGAATAGAAACGGCGGCGGCGGTGGCAGCGGTGTCGACGAGTCTGCAGTATATACTGTATAATATAATATAGCATAATATAATATACGTCGCCCACCCCGGAAATAAACGCGTCTAAACCGAACAAGCGACGTGTCTCATTCTCGCGAAACACAATAATAATAATAACAATATATTATAGCTACGATAAAAATGCGTCCCTTTGAACCGCGTATAAGGTAGCTGCAGCAGGAGGTGCTGATGAAGCGACTCGTCGCTGCATCTTTCTCCCTCTGCGTTCGTATGAGACGATTATACTTTTTAGCAGCCATCGTCACCGTCGCCGAAAGAGGAAGGTAGAGAGGTGTGTGTGTGTGTGAGAGAGAGAGAGAGAGAGAGAAAGAGATAAAATGTGTATATTTGAATTTATTACTTTTGCATAACGCCACAACTTACTATACTAATACCTATATTCCTCTGTCGACTTCGGGGTTAAAGGATGCGCGAGCGAGCAAAGGAGAACGGAATTTAATTTACCGACTCTGTTCCCTCGACTTACGTCTGCGCCGACTTTGCACGTAATAATAATACGCTAATATATCGTATGTTGTATATACATTATACAATTTATATATATAATAATAATAATATATTATACGAAAAATATAATACATCCGCCTCTGCATACTGTACACTGTATTATTACTATTTTGCTGTGTTCAATAAATTTCACTTACTGCCACTGTCGTATAACGATATATTTATAGCTGTGTTTTTTTATAACTAAAATTCATCATAAAAAAATGTAAACATATATAATATATGCGAGTGCGCGAGATCCGAGTATTAATCTGTCTTGATGTATTTTGTAATTCAACGTTGATGACATCAATTAAAAGAGCTGCAGCCTGCAGATATATCTGATATTTCGATCTTTTTAGTTTCAATTCCTCATCGTACACAATTTTTATAATAGCGTTAAACGTGTTTTTCGTATATTTTCTTATCTGAACTTTCGTATAAATTACACGCATCGTACATGTATTATGTATAATATCTATAAATATAGTTATACTACTTAATATATTTTGTATCGACGAAAACTGGCTTTATAACTTCATCCGAGTCTCTTCTCAGTCTTCACACCCCGAGGGCGGCGCACTAAGGCGACTCCACGTCTGCTACAGACTCCCCCGCGCAGTGCACTCGCGTTTACTCTTTATGCTATCATTTCCAACCCTTTGTACATAATATTTCCGTCGTATATCAGCAGTATAGTTCCATGTATTTAACCAGAAAATGCTATAATATACAAGATAATACCACACACTAACTTTTACAAACGTCAATTACGTTTTTGTTATTTTTTTTAGAACTATCTTTCAGTAAACCCATGTAAAATCGAAATTATTTTCCACCACTCTGCACTACGATGAAAAATGTATAATATAAACGATGATATTGCAGTTTAATATTGTTAATTATAATGCCGCTTTAAAATCACAAACACCGTCACACCGCACATTCCATATAGATGTTTAAGCGATCTAATTATACAAGAGCGGCAATAATTAGGAAATTATTTACACAGTGCGCTAATAAGATTGTCACTATTTTTTTCACTAGACACATAGGAGGTAATGTTTACGCACTATAAATTATAAGAATATTATGTAGGTTGGTAAATGCCTAACACATGTCAATAATATAACGACATCGGTCATCGGTGGAATGTTGCCTATTCAGCTGTATTTGATGAGACTTTATACCTTTATAATATGACGTATAAAGAATTATTAGAGATAAATTATTATTTCTATAAATTATCTAAACCACGAGTATGTAATTTAAAACAAACATCGTAAGCATGTAAGTCGTTGGGAGTCATCGTCGACGGCCTGTTTGCTATAGGTATATTATATTATTAAATAAACTTATGTACACACTATTGTTTGCGTGCCTTCCGCGGGACGACCGTTGTGTCTCGGCCTCCCGAGTGCGTTTATACTTTTATAGTGTGTGTGTGTGACAGGTGATACTCGTGATATCGAATTATTGTTATTTAACGATGATGATTTTCGAAAACGAAAAATCGTATTGAACAGTAACGGCGACGGCACAGTCCCTATATATTATATGAAGGTGGATAGATAGTTACACACGAAAAAAAGGGCACAATAGATTCCCCACACACATACCGAATGACAATGACCCATCATCTTAGTCTCGGTCTGTTATTACGACATTAAGGGCCGGTATAAGAGGGCCGTTTCGTCATTATTATTATTATTTTTCACACCTATTCCAAAACCGATCCACCGTGTACACATGTACATATACCATGTGTGTATGTGCTACAATGACTTCGGGAGACTTCATTAAACGACAGATTGACGTTTGGAACAATAAAGGGCGAATCGGATAGAAAGAAAAATAATATAATAATAATGATAATACGCTAGTGAAGAAACTCAGTTTGTTTTTCGATTCTTTTGTTGTCGCGGTGGTGGTATGGCTAGGATGTATGTATAGTTATACACAGATATTATATATAAAAAACGAATCACCGCGTCTAATACATTCGTTCTCACGGTGAGTGAGCGTGTGTGCCGAAGTTATAACATAATTCATGTAATCGTGCATATGCAGTGTGTTGTTTTTACTATGACAAAAAAATATATTGATTTTCTTTTCCGCAGGCCATCAGATGTACAGTACCGGGATGCGTGTGCGATTGTTTTACGCCCGGCAAACTTCACATACGATTCTGCGATGCATGTGGTCACGGATGGGTCCCACACGGTAAGTGAACCAATTTAGATTTTTTTTAGAAATCTCATTATAATATAAGTTGCTTCTATATAACTCCTACGACCTCTCTCAAACACCATGTCGTACAAATTGCCGTGGCGGACTGGGGTCAAACCGATAATGGTCGTTATGAACTTAAATTATATATATATACATGCGGACGCGTTTTCCTCCAACATATCACACTCGGTCGGCTCTTTTCGTGGGTCTAAGACCCTTTTTTATTATTATATATTTTAGGGTTACGGAAGTCTCCGCGGGGCTCGTAATATATTTCCGGACACCCTTTGCGCCTCCGTTGTTCTCTTCTTTCTATTTTTTCTTTTTATTTTTGCTTTTTTTTTTTGCTTTACGGCTAAAGCCGTGTACGCTTCTGTTTAATAAAACATGCAGTTTATACGGTGGGTGGAGAGGCAGGGCTTGTTCCCCGGAGACGGAGCGAAAATCGATTTGGCCAAAGTCGACCCGCCAGCCCCCGGAATTTTACTCTCGGCATAATCATTTACGGCCTATATACCGTTATAAACGAACGGTGGCAGATAAAGAGAGAGAGATGAAATAAGAGTGACCTGAATCCGAAATCAATTGTTTTTTTTGCTTACTTATATACTATATATGCAAAACACACGACGTTTCCACCGTGTTTTATATGCGTATTATGTATATTATATGTACGTCGTAGCTCTGTGGTGGCGTGTCAAAGATACGGCGGTGGCGACGATCGAGAGAAATGGCTCAAGGGTGCACGCAATTAACCAAATGGAAAACTATAATATAAGAACAGTCGATTCCCCACAGTGCAATATTATCTATCACTATCGGGCGGTCCGGTATACCGGTATGGAAATGAGCACGCCGTCGGTCGGTCTGCGTAGTCCCGTCGTTAGCATAACGTTTTCGGGTCCGCATAAAAACCGCATAAATATACTTTTGTTTTTTATTCGAACACTTCCTGACCCGCCGTCGCGTGGCTGCGCCGTAGACCCTTACATGTTATGTACAAACAACCAAACGCTGCAAAAGGCGTAAACAATGGAGAAAATAAGGAAATAAAGAATATATATATATATATCAGTTGTACCTGCAGTATTCGGTGCGTGTAATATACAAACGTGCGCGTAAAATGTACATATTATACAAGGTGGCGCACATGGAACCATATATACATATATTTGCTAGCGTAATAAATAAATCGCCATCCTAGAGGCTATACCTATATACACAGCTAGTGTTAAAGGTATACGTATTAAACATAACGTATGGGTATACATACAAGTTAAGTCGTATAGGTTTTTCCAAGCCAATTGAATACGTAACACGCACTCCGGCAAACAAATGTCGGTCCACTTGGGCGCAGTGGCACACGCGTATATTATACGAAGTACGATGTTAGGATGTATATATGTGTCTATAATCTATATATTATTCGTATAGAAGTCAGACGACGGCATGCGCGAACGGCAGAGATTGATTACGAGCAATCGGCCCCATATACGTGTTTATATTATGTATAATATATTATATTATTGTAAAGGGGACATACGAGGCCACCGCCGAGGGAATGACATTTTGAAAATTTAATACGGTGCCTATCCGTCAAGTCGAAATAGGATTGACAATATAATATAGTTGGTGTGTGTATAATATAGTTTCGACGGATTAAAAACGCGTTTACGGTACGCGCCGGTGTTCCTTGCAATGTATATATGTGTATATATATATAAATTTTATTCGGACGTCTGTCGGCCGTTATATTATACTATATGATATCATACATAATATAAATACTATAACGGGACATAATAAGCTTCTTGAGAAATTTCAACAGATTTACCGTGGGTCGGATGGTTATTTTTTTCCGAAACACCAATTTCGCACAGTCCAATTATCTACTGTTGCACCGTACAGAGGTACCTATATTATATGTACATTAGTTTATTTAGTATATTAATAATATTTTACTCTCGCCGCGTATATAGGTACCTATGTATAACATGGGCTTGTCACGTGCGGAAGACTTTCCGCTGTTGTAGGTGTGGCTGACTCCCGTAGACTGCATATGTACCTACGATGGGTAATATAGGTACCTCCTACATTAAATTATTCTCTCCGCTAGTGGAGTTTCGCGTGTTGTATTAGCGGCGGTGAAGTTGACCGACCCGGTGTCGTCGCTTGACCATGACGACAACGAATCTCGTCCGAACAAAAGAAATCGGCCACACGCGTACCATGGCGCTGTATAATTATTACATTATTGTTGTGTCTACGACCGCGGTCGCGGCTATGAGAAAATCGCTTCATATTTCGTTTTTTTCCCTCCGTTAATTAAAACTCCCGCCCACCCGTGTAAAAAAAAAAATGGGAAAAACTCGCGGCTGACCGCAGCTAGTCTATACCGAATCCGACGACGACGAATTATTAATTAAACCGTGAAAATCGTATGTATATTCTATAAGAGATGTACATTTTCATAATATTATATATGTATACGTGCGGCCAATTAAATCATGTGCCTATTACATTATGTTAACAGCGTGACGACAGTATAAGAATAATAATAATATAATAACACTATGATAATCTACCAGAGTACATCGAGAAAGTTGAGGCAGCAGCACCGACGGGTACCTCATAAACGTATGTAAAGTACTCCGTTCAAATCTCCACGCCGTTTATACCAGGACACGACGACCAAAATGCGCGTAAATGCGTATAATTATATTTCGCGCTCACAGCCCCTGCAGAAGTGTATTACACACTGCAGCACGTTCGAATGACAAAGTGATTTCCACGCCCTTCGATTTATATTTTAAATACGACGTCGGTGGCGTATTATAAACCGTATATACACATATAGACACACACACACACTGCACGCACAACTACGCACCTCATCGTAATCGTATACATATACATAGAGCCCGGCCCTGTCGATGACGTACCTCTAGCAGCCCCGTGATTAATGGTAGGTTACCCCGTTCCACGTATATAATATAATATATAACCCCTTCGATTTCTCTCTTTCTCTCTCTCTCTCTCTCTCTCTCTCTCTCTCAGTCTGTCTGCCTCTCCCTCTACCTCTCTCTGCCAAATGCCGATTCTGTCGATTAATTATATACGTTCCTAACTGGACGCACACAACCATAATGTATTACGAAAAGCCGCCGCTGTATACGATATATACGCGTACATATATATTATAGCTGCAGCGCGGCAATGACCCCGCGGAAGAGGGAAAGGTTTGCAGCGAGCGCGGGGAGTGGTGAGCGAAAAAAGATTCAATTAACGTCCGGCCTGGGTGGTGGGACTGACGGGACGGTTAGAGAGAGAGAGAGAGAGAAACAGAGGAGAGTACTGTGAATCTGGCCAAAAAGAGCGGCGCGTATAGAAAATGCCTCGTTAGCTTCTGTACATTATGTATCGCATATATACCTGCGTTATAACTATTATGATGATATTATATTATATATATATTACAGATCGCAATATTATGTCCTATTACGGCATTGTGCTTTGTATATTTTATAAGACATCATATTTTAATAATTCAATTATATTCGCGTCGACGATAACTTAATATATATATATATATGTTTATGAGTAATATATTCGTCGTTGTCGTCCTCATCGTCGTCAAATATTAGCTTTGCCCGTAATAATTCTCGGTAGATGTTATTATTATTATTATAAGCGACTTGCTCTCTGCCCTAACCGTCTATATACATAACAAACACACAGCACCGGGAGGACGACGCGCGCTCTGTTTGTTTTACGTCAGCGTCTCGTCTCTCGTTGTGTTTACGTTGTAATTGCACGGCTTTTGTTGTTAAACATTTTCCCCGCCACATTGCCCGCCATCGCCACCGACTTTTGCTGTTTGAAACTTTCGAGTCCTCATCCCGTCACAGATTCACACTACTACCATCCCTACCCATCACTACTAAAGCAAAACGTTATTTGTAGCGAATTACTGCATTCGCATAAATATATAATATTATTATAAAGTAAAGTGCAATACACGGATTTCCAGTTTTTTTTTTTGCTTTTTTTTACAAGCGTGTTTTTTACTCCCTTCTTTCCGTTATTTTTCCTGTAGTTTATATTATATACATCAATATTAATAACAATGATTACAAAACAGATTCACGCACACACTTTCAAAAATAAACATTAGCTTCTCGAGATCGCATTGATGCATCCGTTTAATATATTACATCGTTATTAATATTGCGACGATGGCGACAATTCGACCTTGGTATTATGATATTGAGCTACCGCGCAATATTATAATTTTATCGTACGAAAGTCCGACAGTCCGTATTTCATATAATATACATCATCGGTGTCAAAGTTATTGACACACAACGCAGAAATCGATAATCCGCGAGAGCGACTCGAGCGTGGTGTGGCACCTATATATTATACTATTATGTATATATATATATATATATGTTTATATATAAAAACATAGGTACGTGCACTATATTGCGATTGACGTAAATGTCAATATTATGTATATATATATAATATGCACTTTGGCTTTGTTTTAGCCGCGTACGTTATTTACAACAAAAATCCAATTTATTTTCCTCGAATAGGCACTACCTACGCATACTATATTGGTATTTGTATACCACACAATACATATTATATATATATATGTATTATATTATATTATATCCCGACCCGAAACGGTCAGCGCGGCCGCATGTCTCGGGTGGATTACGAGCAGATCAATTTACGAGTTTCAAAGTGTACTTTAATATGCGTACAAACGTATATATTGTTATTGTATGTGTATAATGTCCGTAACGAAGCGCAATTCGATAGCGAAAAATCCCAATCAGATAAGTCCGGAATTGATGTACACATAATAAATGATGATTGTTATATTAAGTGCCTACAATATATGATAAGAGTATTATATGCCATAAATGTATGACCGTCTTTTTTTATTTTATTAACTTCACTGTGCCCGTTTCAATCTCAAA